CAACTTCTCGTCTTTCTTACGGTCCTCATTGTGCCATCGCATCAACTTGGCATGCTCTCCGTTTCTAAACAGACGTTTCAACCGTGGTATTATAGGAGCATACCACATCACCTTCACAGGAACCCTCTTCCTGGGGGGCTCGCCGTCAACATCACCAAGGTCATCTCGTCTGATCTTATACCGTAATGCACCACATACCGGGCATGCGTTCAGATCCTTGTACGCACCGCGGAAGAGGATGCAGTTATTAGGGCATGCATGTATCTTCTGCACCTCCAATCCTAGAGGGCATACAACCTTCTTTGCTGCGTATGTACTGCCGGGCAATTCGTTATCCTTTGGAAGCTTCTTCTTTAATATTTTCAGTAGCTTCTCAAATCCTTTGTCAGGCATAGCATTCTCTGCCTTCCACTGCAGCAATTCCAGTACGGTACCGAGCTTTGTGTTGCCATCTTCGCAATTGGGGTACAACCCTTTTTTGTGGTCCTCTAACATGCGATCGAACTTCAGCTTCTCCTCTTGACTTTCGCATTGCGTCCTTGCATCGACAATGACCCGACGGAGATCATCATCATCGGGCACATCGTCTGGTTCCTCTTGATCTTCAGCAGCTTCGCCCGTTGCAGCATCATCATGCATATCGTCTGGTTCCTCTTGATGTTCAGTAGCATCACCGTATTTAGGGGGCACATAGTTGTTATCGTACTCTTCTTCTTCGCCGTCTTCCATCATAACCCCTATTTCTCTGTGCCTCGTCCAAACATTATAGTGTGGCATGAAACCCTTGTAAAGCAGGTGGGTGTGGAGGATTTTCCGGTCAGAGTAAGACTTCGTATTCCCACATATAGGGCATGCACAACACATAAAACCATTCTGCTTGTTTGCCTCAGCCACTTCGAGAAAATCATGCACGCCCTTAATGTACTCGGAGGTGTGTCTTGAACCGTACATCCATTGCCGGTTCATCTGCGTGCATTATATATAATTAAGTGTGTCAAAAATCATTACAGAACATCATGAATAGATAATTAAGTGACCAAATTAATAGAAGTTCATCATCACATTAAAACCAAAGTACATACATAGTTCTCATCTAACAACATAAAGCTCTGCAGAGCATCTAAATTAATTAAACCATACACTGAAACTATGTAAAACATGTCAATGCGAAAACAAATGCGATCATAATCGCAACCAATGTAACAACTGATCCAACGGCATAATGATACCAAGCCTCGGTATGAATGGCATATTTTCTAATCTTTCTAATCTTCAAGCGCATTGCATCCATCTTGATCTTGTGATCATCGACGACATCCGCAACATGCAACTCCAATATCATCTTCTCCTCCTCAATTTTTCTAATTTTTCCTTCAACAAATTGTTTTCTTCTTCAACTAAATTTAACCTCTCGACAATAGGGTCGGTTGGAATTTCCGGTTCAACAACCTCCTAGATAAATAAAATCTATGTCACGTTGGTCGGCATAATTGTCATAAACAATAAATGAACCAATAGTTATGAAAAGATAATATATACCACATCTGAATCATAGACAGGACGAGGGCCGACGGGGGCGGATACCAAAACCATCGCACTATATAAGATGCAATAATAAAAGTAAGAAAATTATACAAGTATCTATATAAACATACAAGTAAGAGTTTTTTTTTCCTTTCAGAAAGAAGATAAGAACAAGAGGCTCACCACGGTGGTGCCGGCGACGAGATCGGCGCGGGCGATCGACGGCGGTGAAGACGGGGACGGGACGTGACAGACCGCTAAACCTAGACAAATATTGAGAAAAATGGAGCTTGGAGGTGGAGCTTGAAGAGGAGAAAGCTTAAGTAGTGTGGCTCGGGCATTCCATCGGACACCTCGTGTGCATAGGAGGTGAGCTAGAGCACCACGAAGCTTTCTCCTCGCCGGCCACGAAAAACAGAGCAGTGAGAGTGCTCTGCTTGCGGGGTATATATAGGAAATTAATTGGTCCCGGTTCGTGGCTTGAACCGGGACTAAAGGGAAGCCTTTGGTCCCGGTTCAAGCCACCAACCGAGACAAATGATGGTGGGCCAGGAGCAAGGCACATTGGTCCCGGTTCGTCCCACCAACCGGGACCAAAAGGTCCAGACGAACCGGGACCAATGGCCCACGTGGCCCGGCCGGCCCCCGGGGCTAACGAACCGAGTCCAATGCCCCCATTGGTCCCGTTTCTGGATTGAACCGGGACTAATGGGCTGACCCGGCCTGGACCATTGCCCCCTTTTCTACTAGTGGTACGGCAGCATTGTCATATGCCGATGTGAAGATCTTGGCGCGATTTGCTTGATTGCAGCTCGGGAAGAAGTTGGTGGAGCCCCGCTCTTGATGAAGATGGATGGACTGAGATGTTACAGATGTACTGGCCGGCAGTAGTGAAGATGAAGGGATTTCAGCAAAGTAGATACACGTGTGTGTGCCGCGGGCTTATAGGGAGTGCTAAACACAAACGTGCAACCATGCGTGTACAAATGGATTTGACTACTGCAAACAATGACTTCTCATATAGACGATGGCAGTCATTACATTATTGGGCAAACTAGTACCACATCATTAGGTAACACGGGCTTTACATACAGACTGCACACACCGGAAGCCGGACAGCAAATGCGTTAGCAACAACCACACGGAGAAGACCTCCGGGCTCCACCTTTGGGGCATCCAACTACTAGTAGTAGTTTTTTTTAGGGTCTAGTTGGATGCCCCAAAGTATATCATGATCACGCACTGGATGAACACAGTGACCATCAGATTGGTTACATCGATCATCAGGCTAACAGCTGCAAGCAGTTGTGCGCCGTGACACATGTAGGCGCCTAGGGCATCAGCTTCGGCCTATGTGATCTGATCTCAGACAGATTGAGCCGTCGACTTGTTGGCATTTGTTGATTTGATGAATCGGAGGAAGCCCGGGCTATGCAACACACGTCTTGAAAGTTGAAACTCAAAAAACGGACAGACATGAGATCTGAAAACAACAAGGAACACCGAAGATAAATCCCAAGTACGTGAGACGCTGTACTGAAAAGAGAATAGAGTACCAGATTTTCAAATCTGATTACCTGCGTAATGAGGAGGGCTGGATGGCTCGGCATAGCTCAGCTGTTGGCCCGATCCGTCACACCAGAGTCTGGGCCGGAGCCCCATGACGACACCTACCCACAATAAAGACACAGAGGCATTTTCTAGTCACTGCCACATACGATGGAGATACGCCAGGCAATATAAGATAAAACATCAACCCCGAGGTGATTGCACGGTATAGATATAGGGATCATCTGAGCATGGGCTCAGAAACCAATTTTCGATACATATACTCCGTACTTGATACTTCTAATTTGCTAAAAAAAACTTACTTTATATATGGTTTTTTAAGCAAATATGGCTGGGTTGCACACTTTCAACTTCAAAAACACCGCCAAAGCCGTCGATCTCTACCTCCTCACGGTGGCAAGGCCGGTGATTCCCCTCCCCTCTATCCACCGCTCCCGCGCGTGAGGAACTTCGATTTTGCGTGTTCAATGTGTAGTAAGGGTTAGGTGTTGGTTTTGTGGTGGCGTCGTTCAAATGGAGGTGGTGGCACTGCGTCGAATAATGGTGCCCCGGCTTCAAGCCCATTTCACAGTGCATGGTCGATCAACAGCATCGACGTGGTTGTGGGTCAGAATATGTGCTTCAACGTCGTGTGGTGTTGTTTTGATCGTCGACTTGTTGTTGGCGGCCTCATCTTCTGTTGTTCCCATCCATGGGCGATCACGGGTCCGGTCACCAGTTCCCTCCA